GTCATCAATGACAATGAGTTGGAATAAATATATCCGTAATCTATCAACATCTCATGGTTATGGCAAGTCAAATACGTATGCTACACCAAAATTTTTCTCACTTGTCAGGTAAAACTAATGACGGCATTGTCCCAGAAACCAAAATTCTCAGCCCGAGAGAATAATTCTGAAAATTCCACTCTCTCTCTAACTTCCTTCCCAAAAAAATTACAAAAAAACAAAAACCTAATTATCATGCGACTTATCCTTGAGCCAAAGCAAGTTTCTTTCTCTGCTGATGCTCGGCAACCTTATAATCAACCACTTGACGGAACAAATTAGCATCCAAAATGCAATCTCGACTGCCATAAACAGCTGCCTGAACACCTGCCATCAGCTTCGCAATCTCTCTTCCGGAAAAACCCTCTGTCTTGGCAGCAGCTTCCTTGATGACATCATCATTAAGTCCCTTGATCTCTATCTTCTTCTGCCGTTTCTTGAAGAGATGGGCAAATAAGCCAGGTTTTCTTGCCCCAGCTTGCGCAATGTACTTGTTCAGATAAAGTTTGAGTAGCTTCAAGCGTTCTTCTTCACCGGGCAAAGGGAATTCTAAAACCTCGTCTATACGGTCAGCAATGGCCGAATCAAGATCACTAGGCCGGTTTGTAGCTAAGGCAAGGACTATGTCTTTCGACTGGTCACCCGTGCGGAATAAGAGTGCGTTTAGTGCACTCCTTTGGGCTTCGCTCATATAGGTTTTATTCCTCCTGAAAATAATGATAATAATAATAATAATAATACTAAAAATAATACTCCCTGCTATTCATAATAAGTGTCGTTTCAAGAAGTTGTACAGTAATTAATCTTTTATGAAGATAGATATGGATGTTTTGGGAAAAAATGAAGAGTGGATATGAAAAGACGTAACGTATTTATTAGTTAAATGAGGGTAATAATGGAAAAATATGTACAGAAGATCCAAGATGTCATTTATTTGGTTAATAGTTGATAAAGTCAAAATGACATTTAAAAAGAAACGGAGGTAGTAATAATTATTATGTTAGTGTAGTGATTAGTATGGCATTAGAATAGAATCATCTTGATAGAAAATCAGCAAAACTTGATTCTGTAACTGGACACTGACCCATAAAATAATTCATTTATGCATACAGACAAGCACATGCATGATTCTTCTTGTGGAAGGAGCAAAGAGATTAAAAGAAGAAAATAAGCCATGACATAAGAATATTTAGCTGTCCCAATAAGTGTATCAACAATAAAGAAAATTCACGACTTCAGCTGGGCCGTAGTCTCTAGAGAATAAATTCCACTTTGGAAGTCACCAGGTGAATATTTTTCAAAATAGGAAATTTTGGAAAGAATCTTTCGGGAGGTTCTACTTACTCGCACAAGAATGCATCTGCTTCATCAATGAAGAGCAACAAACCCCTGTTGGACTTCTTGGCCCAATCAAACAGCTGGTGTATCTTCGTGACAGCCTGAGAACCCAGTGGCGCAACATCACCTCCCGTCATCAGTGCATAATCAAGACCCTGTAACAAAAGCAAACAAATATCAAATATCTCCATAATTCCATATTATGGATCCTTCAACATAAACCAGACCTTTTCCAATTACTTAAATCGTTTGTTAAGAAGCATGCAGACAAATTATTTAACCACACAATTAAATTAACTTAAGTCCTATGAGAAGGAAAAGGTTATGATGTCACACAGATTTACGGGCAAGCTCTCTAGCAGCCATTGTTTTCCCTGTTCCTGGTGGCCCGTAAAAGAGCATGTTTCTGAATGGTGCCTGATGTGCTTTTGTATTTGCTGTTGCACTCGCCAGCTGTTCAATCCGCTTCTGGAGAGAAGGGTGTAAAATGACATCACCAAAACTGTTTCCATTCTGAGAGCCTGAACTTCTATTGGCCCCACGCAAGGAAAATGTGCTCAAGCCACGGGAGAATAGCCCAGACCACGGGTACTTCCCTCGAGAAGATTCTCGAATCAGAGAAGGTTGTCCTAATATTCGGTCCACATAACTCCAAATCACCCTAGCACCTTCTCTGAAATTTAAAAACGAAAATTTATGTCAAAAATTTGAAGGGATGGCTTATAATAAAATTATAATTGTTATCACGTAATATAAATGGATGGTTGTACAAGTCAGCTGTGATTCTTTTTATCAAATGAGAGAAAAAGAAAAAATGTTGTTGGAAGTATGGCATGTTTCAACAAACATATTTCCTTGGTGACTACACCTGGGTTTCAATATTTGAACATTGAAACGCATTCCATTCCAAATGATAGTACCTTGTCGTGTACACCCCTGCTGCTAAAGCTGTTACTCCTCCAACAGCTACAACCAATCTATTCTGATCTGTTAAAATAGCTTGCAAACCTCCTGCATTTTGATGGAGAACAATTGTTGAGCACTACATAATAATAAGGTGACCTATTAAATCTTCTTCAAAACCTTCACCCAGTAACAAAAAATAAAAATAAAAATAAAATATAATAATAAATAATAAAATATAATTTTCCATCAATTGCAGGAAGCATTACACTCTGCATATATAAATAACCAACAAAATTTTGCATATATATTATATTAACTTGCCCAATAAGGTAGAAAATGAATCTTTCAACGCCAGCAATACAACCAAAAGCAGCTGATATCAAATTCATGCTACTTGTAAACGTGTAAACAGCTGATGGGGCATGTGCCGCATGGCAAAGGAAAAGCAATAGCCAAAGCAGAAGGCCCTCCTAAGTCCCAATATCCCAGAGAATTCATTTTATTGTATAATGAAAAAAAAAAAAAAAAAGAAAGAGAAAGAAGAACCTCCAATTTGATCGAAAGTTGTGTTGATAGCGGCAACCCACTTCTCACGCTCCGCATTTGCACGTTCAATGAGCATTCTCCTGTTGACATCTTCTGCCAGCTTTGATTCGTGGGCCCTACCCTCGGCTTCCGCCATAGCCCTAACTTTTATAGTCTCACGTTCTATCTCGGCCTTCTCCCTTTCAGTCTGCAGACGTTGTGCTTGAATTTGCTCTTCTGTGGCTCGTCTGGCTACCTCTTGCCTCATAGACGACTCCTCTTGCATTTTCACAAGTTCTTGATTTCTCGCTCTTTGATGCTCATTCTCAGCCTGAACAAAGTCAGGATCACCTGGTGTTCAATAATTACTAAAAGTGCTACTTTTTCTGGATATGAGCCGAAATGGGATCTCAAACCTGCATTCTTTTTCTTGCCAGCTCATCTTCATACTTAGCCATCTGTGATTTTATCTGTGCTTGTTGCTGAGCTAGCTTTTTCTGTTCGTCATAGACTACCCTCTGCCTCTCCTGTCAAAATTAGAGGGCTGCTTTTTATGTTTTTTTGTGAAAGGTGAAACATAAAACTCTTACATCCATAAAAGTGGCATCTTTGAACTCGTGGATAGAAGATGATGAAAATCTCAAATTTGTGAATGGAACTACCACAATTATTTTCCCTGAGCTCCAATTTATTGATCCTAAAGCAAATTCTCGTAAATGAATGCTTAAATGAGAAATTGTTGACCAGAATGAGATTAAAGCAGAAAAACTGCTGTTAATAGCGACTCTAATGTGAAACAAACATCTAAGACTCTGCATAAAAAAAATCAGAGAACTGCGTTTATTGCTTTANAAAAAAAAAAAAAAAAATTACAACTCTTACAGCTTAGCATTGAACTGATGAAATGGATGAACTCCCATATTGAGGTCATATATCTGTAGGATTGGACGCATGAGTTGGAGAATATTCATATCTAAATGGAACTATTATTAATCTATTCCAATCCCAATGTCCAATTTATTGATCCAAAAGCAGATTCTCCTAAATGATATTGACTCAGAGCAGAACAACTACTGTTTCTAGGTAGTCTTTTGTAAAACAGTCTAAGACCTTATGCATAGTAAAGAAAAAACGCAGGAGATTGCGTTTAATTCTCTGTTCAGAGATAAAGAAATTACAACTAATATTAGGATATGAATCTTACAGCTTCAGCCTGAGCCTGCATTGCTTTAAATTCCACCGCTTTACATGTTAATTCTTGCTGTTTAGTTTCTTCTTGCTTCTTCATCGCTTCAAACACCTTCATTAATCAAATACAACCAAACACATTATTATCTCGTAAAAATAATGAAGAGTACATAGAGAGAGAAAAAAAACAGTTTTGGGCGTGTGCTTCTCTGGAAATAGGAGACTTTGTCTTCAAAGTTAACCATATATTCCCAGAAGTTATAAATGTAAACTTCTGCTTGCCACAACTACTAA